TGCTGATCTTTCCAGTACATCAGTCCTTAAACGAGGACTTTCCACCTGAACGTTAAGTCTCTTCAGCCTCTGAGTTTATGAGGGGCTCTCAGCTCTCCCGTCTCCTGCTGACTTTGTCTTTACTGCAGTTTTCTTTACGTAAAACCTTACAGCACATTCAGGTTAACACCTGATTCTTTCAATTTGTCTTCAACATATGGGGGCAGAGTTTTCACTTTAGTTCTATAAACACTGACCTGTGTGGTTTTTATAGAACAAACTTCCTTTTTAATGTAATTTAAACACCGTTTATAACAAAGAGACTTAAAATCATGGGTGCAAGTTTGACTTGAGCACCAGATAAATCAGGCGCCAGGTGATCATTGAGTGTTTTCCTCACATAGATCAGGCTAGAGAAGTATCTCTCGCGCAGGTTGTGCAGGACGGAGGCTTCGTTGAGGAAGGTGAGGGCGGCCATGTCCTCCACCTTGCTGAATTTGGGTGGGTTCATCTTCTGGATGTCGTCTTTGTTCACCGTCACCTTCTGACCGTTGGAGAGCTCCACCAGCACCTGCAGAGCAGCGGCAGGTATTCAGCACAAAAATTCAAACATCACATCGCCTGACAAACCAAACAAACGTGTTGGTGTCCTGCACATCTGTGTCATTCAGAGGAAACAGGTTTGAGAACAGGTGAGAGAAAACTAAAAAAGACAACGAAGAGAAGAAAATCTCACAAGAAAATTAAAAATGTTGAAATTCTACATTTAATTTATCTCAAGTTTACTTTTTAATCTTTAAAAAGTAATTTCCGAAGTTTTACACGCGAGGAAGAAATGTCTGTAACCGCTGTGTCTCATGTTCGTCCATAACAAAACAATTCCCATAGAGTATTCTGGAAAATATGGAAGCTTTTCCATTTGTTCTTGTGTTGACTCAGTTTGCAGAAAGCGGTCCCGTACTGAAGTGCCAGGTTAAATTTAATTAAAGAGTTTAAGGGTAAAACTCTGTTAAAAGACCAGAATCACTGTTACTCTCTTCATAAAGTAACAAAGTAACAAAGACAAACAGTTGGTGTAAATGTTTGTCTGCAAGCTGCTTTGCAACCCCACTCTGCTTCAGCTCCTTCTTTTCACGCTGTTTCTGACTTAATCAACATCATATTTGTGTTTTCTGATGGCTCCTGTCAATCATTCTTGTTTCCATGCATACCTGGTCACCCTTCTCCTCCTTGATGCTCGCCGGCTCGAAGCCCTCCCTCTCTGACGGCACCCACACCATCTTTTTAGCTGCCCAGTCGGCCTGGGCCACGCCGCTGTTGCGGAAGTCGTTTTCCAGGAAGAGGTACTTGTCGTCGGTGTCGGCCATGTTGGCGGTCGGATCGACCTGCGGGTCAGCAGCGGCGGGATCGGAGTCTAGCGCTGGTGGTTCGGAGGCAGTGACGCTGACGTTTGAATCGTCGATTGGGACCGGCTCAGCCTCTGATATGTGAGTTGATTTGACCTCTGACCTGCTGACAAATCAAAAATGTGAATTAAAAAAGACGCTTTTTCTTTCTCTGCTTTTTTATATTCACTGCAGTTTTCATTTTGCCTTATTGTACTCATAAACCTGCCATTTATCTATTTTTATGCTGCTACAGGTTCAGGCTGCAGGATGATTTCCCGTGATGCACTGAGGACCTCTTTTCACTCCCCACGTGTTCACATTTTTATATCTATTAGCTTATGTCTTTGCTCCCATGATTGTTTCTGTGTCTCTCTGTTCCTCTTTTCAGACCCCTCCCTGAGCCTGGTTCTGCTGGAAGTGTCTTCCTGTTAAAAAGGAGTTCTTCTTTCCCGCAGTTGCCAAGTGCTGCTCATAAGGGGTTGATCTAATTGCTGGAGTTTTCTCTGTAATATTACATGGTACTTACCTTACAGCACATGCTTCATATCATTGGCCTTTTGCAAATTTTCTTCCATCCTGCACTTTGCTTACAGGATCGTACCTGTGCTGACCTGCATGCCAACAAGCTATCTAATGCATTACAGAAAAAAAGGAAAAGCTGATGCTGAAAACAATTTCAGTAGAGTTCTGTGTATCCATTCACCCATAACTGAGATTGTCTTCAATCGAGCCCAAAGTCAGTGTTACGACACTCTAAAGGAAAGCTTTTATCGGCATCCAGTTTCATCCCAGAAGGTTGGACAGTTTAGTACATGTAAATTACAACATTTATTTTGTTTCCCTGAAACTTCCTACACACCCCCTGAGCTCATTATTTTTGTTTTTATATCAGGATGCTCTTGGTTTTATTACATCAGATGATGAGTAGCTGTCATATACAGGCTTGTGTGGAATCTTATAAAACTGTAATTAGAGTGAATTATTTTGCATATAGAGGCTAATATGGTGGTTTTGTTGAGCCCAGTGCATCCCACTAACAGCCCAGAGTCATAGCATAAAGAACTGGTGCTCTATAAAAGAAAAATGAGTTTCAAACTCCCCAATTTAAAAACAGCAGCTCACAACTTAAAAAAAAGAATCCATCTCCTGGTTTCTCCATAGTTTTCCACCTGCCAGCACCAGGACTCACAGCAGTGTGTGCGCTGCAGATAATTATGTTTCCAACACAAGATTCATATTTTATATTTTGGGAGTAAAAAAGACCAATTTTTAAAGAAAAAGACTTTGTTGGAGGCATTTTTTCCCATACGGACTACTGTTGATGTGTTTTTGTTTTTTTCATGCCTTTACTGAACAGGACAAATGGATAACTTGTTCAGTTTTCTGAAGGAAAAAACTACGCCTACGCCTTCAGCGCAACTTGATTTAAAGACCAAACTATTTTGTAGCACAGTCTCACACAGCATCAAGCAGAGGAGGACAAATAAAAGCATCTTTCTCACAGACTTCTGAAACCTTTCAGGGGCACATAAAGGCTAAGAAGTGATGAAGACGCGCCAGCATCAATAAAACTGACTCATTAGCTCATTTTTCTGCCTCACGCTTCCTCCATCTGTGCCTCCAACTGCTGCCTTTGCATCTCACAGCTCATTTACATCCACTTTCAGTGAACTGTCTCACAGATTACATCTGATAAATAAATGCCATATTTCCCTAAAGTTTGCATACAGCTACTTACTCACTTATCCTCGTCTGTGCCTCTGCGTGCAGGTCACAAGGCTGCTTTGACCTCCCATTGAACAGCAGGCAATAAAACATGAAAAGCAGCACACAGATAACCCCGAGTATCAAACAAGTGAGCTGCCATGCTGGAATGCCCATGTTTGGCTAACCCTTTGCTCCTGGTAGCTTGGTAGCCCAAAGAGGGATGCTAGGGACTTAGCAGGCATACTACCTTATAAGGTGCAGCTCATGTGTCCAGCCAAGCTTACCGTTTACACCAAAATGGTGACATGTCAGGGGGGAGCATCCATGTGTGGCTACTGGCACACGGGCTATGCAGAGCAGGTGAAATCAGCATCCTGCATCATTTCTGACACTTTTCACAGTTTAAACTGAGAACAGGTCAGCCTGGAATTATTGTTAATGACGAATAACAGATTCAGGGTCATGCAGAAGGCCATTAGTTCCTAATTACACCTCATAAAATAGAACATTTCTTTTGTCTTGACACAAAATAGCCACCTGTTGGAGATTCATCTACTGAACATTACACATTTCTGCAAGTTTAGATGCATCCACACAGGCTGTAACTCACTGAGCAGGGCAGCAGCTGTAGGTTGGCATCAAAACTGTGGGAGTATTAAAATTTAAATTAAAGCGCCGTACTCACCGTTCAGGGCTTCAGTCCTCAGTGCAGGATGCAGGCTGAGCTCCAGGGAAATGAGACTCTCATGTCAGGTAAATGAAGTGATGGTGATGATGAGGATGAAGATGATGATGATGTCCTTCCTCCTCCCCTGGCATTTAAATCAGCCGCGATACCTGGGGGTGGAGCCCTTGGGCTCCTGCCTACCTCCTATCCAAAGTTAGCAGCAGGTCTTCATTCAGCCAATCAAACGAGGTTCAGTCAGTCTGCCTTCAAATTAAGAGCCCACGGTTGTTCTGGCTCAGCTTGATGACATGTATCTGCTAAAGTGATAACAAAATTGAGTTGGTTGTTACACAGAGGTGCTGGAAAGTGCCTACATTTCAGGATTTTTCAGCACTTCCTTGTTTTGTGCCGACAACACACTGGGAATCCATAAATTAAGCTGTTAAAACTAACAATATAGAAAGTATAGAAACTTGGCTTCACATTAGTATGTTGCACACATGACCAATAACCAGTGTTATTAAATGATCCTCAAACTCTGCTCTTCTACCTGCATTTTCTTGTACGTGACAGGCTTCTTTTACACTGACTGTACATAAAAGATGGACTTGGTCTCTATGACGCCTGGGTTGTTTTTTCAGAAGCCCGGGTGTGTCAAATGTCTGCCTCCGCCTCTGCTTCACCCATTGGTTTTGAACTCCTTCATGTCACAGATAGGCCACGCCTCCAATAATGCAAACTTTAAACCTTCATGCAATTTAAGCAGGTGAGTTATACAAACATTCTTCCTTGTATATCGGTTAAGATAGAGACCAAAATTGTTTTATTTCAGGCAGTAAACATTTTTATTTCTGCTGTAAAGTTTCAACACATGAGTCTGCAGGAACTCAGGAGTCTCCAGTGGACATTAGAGGAACTGCAGGTTTCGTCTTAAAAAAACAATGTTTTCATCCCACTCTTTTTGTCAGAAACTCCGGGATTAAGCTTTTATGAGAATCACAAATTTAAAAACACCTTATTAGATCAAACTGAATAAAAGTCCATAAAATATTTTAAACTGGCTCCACACCTGAAACCTTTCTCTGTGTAAACTTAGGTCATTCACACAGTATAAAATCATGCAAATCATTAAGTTTTATTGACGTTTTAAACAGTGTCTCAAATTTAAATAGCAGACACATCTGGGCTAGTTTTAGCACTGATGGCTCAGTTACATGTCATGTAGTCCAGACAAGTGTCAAAGGTCACGAGGAGAGAATAACTATGGGTTACAGCGATCGTAGTGTGACCCGGACGTGCAGACATAAAAAACAAGTCTCCATCTTTGTTCTTAAAACAAAACAACTGAAATAAAACGATTATTGTGTCCGAATCTGTTTCTCAGTAATGCCATCATTTTACTTTTCTTTGCTTTTTCTTTGCTTCGTGAAAGTCCAAATTCAATCCTTGCCAGACTATTTCAGTTCTTATTCATTTATTTAGATCATTTCTTTTCATTATGATCATAGTTTAAGGAAATCCACTTCATGAAAAAGACAAATTCCTGGATTTTTCCTGGGTATCCATCCTTTGGCAAGCCCTATTTTTAACCAGTTTTATTAACTGGGGTTTCATTTAATTAAGCTTAATTGAAAATTTTGTTTATCAGATGGTCAGAAACATTAAGAATGGCTCAAAAGAGAGCGCCAAAACATAATAATAATTAGGCTACTGTATGTGATCAGGAAGGTTTATGTGCACAGTCAACTCTAGTCTGCAGCAACTGAAACAGTTTTGTGAATTTTACTCGATCACAGCTTAAATCTATGAGATTAAGTGATGGGGCTGTCACTGTGTTTTTTCCTCTTCTAAAAATTGTCACTGACAGACAAAAGCGACTGAAATGATAACATTAATCCTGCTTTTGCATTTATTTTGAAGGCTTACGCGCATCAAGAAAATCTTGACTCCTGCTGGCTTGCCGTAGTCTATTTCCATGGTGACAACAGTAAACAAGAGCGCCGTTATCTGTTTAAAAGTTTCTCTGTTTCTGGCCCGAAGGCTCAAATGTCCGTTCAGGCGGATCCTCCGGAGCAGGAGGAGACTGATCTGCTCTTCATCGTGTTTGAAGGATCCTCCCCGGAGGATGTGTCCCACGCCAGGCAGCTGTGGAGCTCCCTGTCCCTGCTGCCGCCGCTGGAGTCGCGGCTGGTGTCGGCGGATATCCGCCAGAGGCTGCCGGTGTCTCGGCCGCAGCGCAGCGGCAGCACCGCCGCCGGTCCCGCTCCGGAGCCGCAAAGAGTCCCCGATCCTCGGCAGAGGCAGGAGGAGAGGCAGCGGTACGCGGCCATGGGGGACCAGAGGAAGGAGATCCTGGCTCTGCTGAGGAGGCAGAGGGAGCGGAGGATCCAGAAGGAGCTGCTCTCTGTGGCCTTCAAGCCCAAAGAGAAGGTCGGCAGAGAAAACAAAGGAAAAGAAAAGCCTGAGGAGAACTCTGAGGACAGGGAGCTGGTCAGGCAGCTTCAGTAGGAAGAAACTGGGAGTGTAGAGAGGAGCAGGTGTGTTTGAGATAAACTGCAGGATTAGTTTAGTGTTCAGACAACAAAACGTCTCTCACACACACTGCCTTAATATATCAAAACCAGTTTATCCATATGACTGCTTCAGTATGGGCACACTGTGGGAAAAACAGATATGTAAAGCAGTGTAAAAAAAAAGTATTATAAAGGGGAGCCAAACAGCTCTGGTGGCGACTAAATAATATTTTAAATACTGATCTGCTGGCGATCCTGTAGAACAACCGGAAGTCACAAAAATGGGACTAAAGTGGTTAAAAATTAAATGAGGGAGACCGGTTTCCTGTTTCTTTTTCTAAAGAATGCACTTCTGTAAATATAATTATATAATATTTAATAACATTACATTATGCAATAAAAGCTGCTGTCCTAATTAAATGGTTCAGGTCATGTCTTCTGTTCTATTACAGGTGTTCCTCGGGGATCCATTCTGGGACCTCTTTAATTCACTGGGCTGATAACATTTTAAAGTATATCTGGCCATTAAAATGTTTCTTTTTTGTTTAACTAAAAAAATGAACCACATTACATTTATATGCAAAGACGATGCTTTATAGGCCACAATATTTTTGAGTAGTCACCAGCAGCCCATCTAAGTTTAGGGGGTGAGTGTTCGATTAACATCCACTGCTGTTGGAAGAATTTTGAAGAATATAGATATTTCCACCCAACAGCATCACTTTCATTGAAGAGACATGCCATACCACACAATTTTACAAGTTTTATAAGCTTGTATGATCTAAGTCTTACCAGGTTTTATTTAAAATTTAAAACGCACTCTTTATTGGAAAGGTAACAACCTCTGCTTTCTAAAAATATTCCTAAATGTCACGGACAAAAATAAAACCCATTTATTCTGCTGATGAGCTGCTGGGTCATAAGAAACTATATCTGCTAATTAGCTTCACACAGAGAACAGATGAGGCGTGCTTTGTAGTTTTAATCTGATTTTTTATGTAAATAAGAATAATCTGATTGTGTTTGGAGTGTTAGACTGATACTGGTGTCAGACACAGCGTACACAGCAGTTTGCTTCAAACAGCATTACATAATGTGATGTGAAGCCTGTGTGGATATTCAAATTCCAAATGTCCAGTGGAGAAGGGCGGACCATAATAGGATAAGAAGAGTCCTGCTGACTGTTGACTTGAGCTAATTTGGTTAAAGTTTTCAAAGCGCACAGAAGCCCATCGCCTACAAACACTCTTTAACCTCTCAAACCCAGATTGTGAGAGTAAGTCACTCTTAAGTGACTCTAAAGTGATCCTCCACTCAAAATCCAAGTATCCGAGTATCAATAATGCCCTTCAGCGCTGGCTATAATAAGAACGTCACTAGTACCTCTCCTAATGATCATTTCTTTTATGGCATTGTTGAAACTTTAATATTGGATGCTGTGGAGATCCTAATGTGACCCAATCTTACCATAACCTTTGACAGAAGTTCGGTAAGGGCTTTATTGCTTTATTACTTCTTCTTATGTCCTATTATTGGATTGTCAGTCATCTGTGAAGTACTTTGAAGTTCACCAACCTGCTTGAAAGGTGTTTACATATGATTCATTATTTCTCAAAGAGACCATTATGAACATCAACAGGCTCTGTATAATAGCTCACACAGAGTTTATATTAGATATGTGAGGTTTCAAAAACACTTCTCCTCTTAGGCTACGTTCACACTGCAGGTGAAAGCGCATCAAATCCGATTTTTTTGACCCTATGCGACCCATCTGTCCGATCATGGTGTGACAGTGTGAACGGCGCAAATCCGATATTTTCAAATCCGACCTGGTTCACTTTCATATGTGGTGCTGAATCCGATACATATCTGATGTTTCAGAAAGCTGCTGTTTGATGGTCAAGTCGCATTAAATCCGTCTTTTACGTCACTGACACAAGACAGACGCCAATTATCAGCGCCGGAGAAGACGTCGCGAACGCTTCCTGGACATCCAGTGAAACTGTTGGAAAGACAACGTGAACATTTTCTTTGTACTGTATAATCTGCAGATTCTGACAGAAATCTGCAACTATCCTTTGAAGCACCGCTCCTCTAAAACAGCAATAAGGATCATTATTAGGTTTTTTACATTATTATGTAAATAACAAAATAACTTAAAGCAAAAATTGGGAAACGTAAAGTGCGAAGTCTTTATATTAAGGCCATCAGTCAAACATACTGTTTGCTCTGGGTCTAAACAGAGCGCGTTGTGTGTGACGTCTTCTTTTGCGCATGCGGCCGCTTTGAGCGTTCACACTAGAGCGCGTTTGCTGTCGCATTTTATCTGTAGTGTGAACAAGCAGACAAAAAATCGATTTGATCAAAAAATCTGAGTTGAGCATTAAGACCTGCAGAGTGAACGTAGCCTTATAGTGTGCTGTAAATTGAGAGAACCAATCCCATTTGGATTATGAGTGATAATGCCGTGACCATCCAATCAGACCTACTTTGGGCTGCGACTCTGTGAACGGTCCGACATCTTCCTCCTTGAGATTTGGACAGCCTTAATTTGGAACACCTGCCAGTTTGTCCCGTTCAGCCGCGGCCTGTCTGAGAGTGCAGTTACGTCGGTAATTGCACTCAGATCTGTCTCCTGTCATCATCGTGGTCTGAAAACACCGTGATACTCACCTGGAGGTTCAAAATAGAACTTCTCCAAACCCGTGCTTGACGTCATAGTGGCTGTGTCCATCTTTTATGTACAGTCTATAACATGGGTGGAGGAACTCTTGGGCTCGAGGGTCGGTGTCCTGCAGGTTTTAGATGTGTCCTTGATCCAACACAGCTAGTTTAAATGGCTAAATGACCTCGTCAACATGTCCTGAGGTTCTCCAGAGGCCTGCTAATGAACTAATCATGTGATTCAGGTGTGTTGACCCAGGGTGAGATCTAAAACCAGCAGGACACCGGCCCTTGAGGCCTTGAGTGCCCCACCCCTGGTCTATAAGACTACCTTTTTGAAGCCTTTGTCATCGTCATCTTGGTATTTGAATAAAAGCGTAGAGCTGTCGAGTTATCAGCTCATGCTAGAAGTGGTTATCTCGGTGGATCTCCGTCTCCTGACAAAGCATGAAACAGTCGCGTAAAAGTAATGTGTGCATAAACTGACATGTTTTACTTTGGTTTTTAACCTTCAGTGTTGCACGAGTCTGCAGCTGTTTCCAAACCACCTCAGAGCTTTAAAAAACAAGGCAGCTGCTGCTGTAGGAGTTTGTAGCTGAATGATTAGAATATGTTAAAGGTTTAAGTATTTATACACGTTTATGCGTTTTGATTAGGTTATTTTTATTTAGCTTGTTATTTAGTCTTATTTTTCTTTTGGTTGTTTAGTTGTTTTTGAGAAGGTAGAGAGGTACAGGATCAGCATGCACTAAAGAATCCATTTATTTTAGCAGTGCAAAGGATGAAATAAACCATAAATTCCACTGATTTTATTTGAGTTCTTTTTCCTGCATACATTATTTGCTCATCATGCATCAGTGTCCTTTTAAATGGTAGTTTTTCAGTTTGAATGTGAGCAATAGCCACTATAGTTGCAGTTGAACAGTGTTGGTGCCAAACATTGAATGAAAATTAAATAAATCTGTGAACGAGAATCATAAACTGTGAAAGTAAGTGCATCTGTGTGGGACTTGCACTTATCTTTTCTTGTTTTTCTTTCCTACAGCTCAAATAATTGTTTTTTCAGAGATTCTTCTTTAAAGTTTAATACTTGGAAACTTGATTTAGGCAATGGTTTCAAATGTGATCTTTAACTTGAAAAGATTTCAGCAGCTGACGATTTAAAGATGATTTTAGAGGTGGTTGCAGTGACGACAATTCACCATAAGATGTCAGTAAAAGTTCATTTGTGGGAAATCTCCTGAGATGAAGCTGTTTATTTTCCGCACTGCAATCCCTCCGATGGTTATTTGTTTGCTCAGACTACTTTCACCCAAATAATTTATCACGGCACCCTGCAGCTCCGAGGCTGCCCGGTGGGTGATATCTCGGCTCAGCAGTCTCTCCTCTCTCAGGGCTGGAAAACAGATCGCTGTAATATCTGCCCGCCAGCTGTTGCCCGCTCTGTTTGCTGCATGCGCTTCATCACCGCTCTTATGAGACGCAGCTCTCTGAGGGAGTATTACGGTCAGTGGAAACTGATGTTCCTGATATTTACCTGACATTTCACACAGAGCCAGGAGACTCTGGGAGCTGATCTGCTGAAGCCCGGTGTGGCAAACATGTTGCTGAAAATCCAACTTCTTCTCTGTCAGGAGAAACTTCTTTAAAAATACATGAAGCTTTCATAAATTCTTAAATGCTGTAAACAGGATCTGTGGGCGAATCAAATGTTAAACCTTCTTTGTAAATATTTTCTGATGATCTGAATCAATGATGTTTTATTCCCTGATGTTATTTCCTTTCTTTAAACATATTTCCCATAAATACTTAATACTACTATAATAAACCCCATTAAATGATGCAAATAAACATTTGTTACTCCATCTCAGTCCTTTATCCATCCATCCACTTTCTCTTATTTTCTCTTATCCTGACCTGGTCACCTGAGCAAGAATTCCCAGACCTCCCTTTTCTCAGCCACCTTCTCCAGCTTATCCAAGGGAACACCGAAGCGTTCCCAGGCCAGCTGAGAGATGTAATCTCTTTAGCATGTCCTGGGTGTGCCTCAGGGCCTCCTCCCTGTGGGACATGCCCAAAACGCATCATTTTTCAGATGCCCGAAACACCTCAACTGGCTCCTTTTGAGGTGGAGGAATAGCAGCTCTATTTCCACTGCTCATGCTCTTGTTTTTTCGGTGTCTACCCAGAGCTCGTGACCATGGGTGAGGGCAGGGACGTAGATTGACCGATAATTTGACAGCTTAGCTTTTACGCTCAGCTCTCTCTCCTCTCCAGTACCCTGGGGTAGAGAGGAGCCTGAGGAATGTAACCCCCTCCTGTAGTGGGATGGGAACACTACCCCAGTCTGCCAATCCAGAGGCACCACCCCAGATCTCCGTGTTGTAGAGGCGCGTCAACCAGGACGGCCCTACAACAACCAGAACCTTTAGGAACTCAGGGCGAACCCACCCTCTGTGATGTCACCCATCACTGAGGTAGTTCAACAACTTTCTGACTATCTCACCTTTTATATGAGTCTGGTGTTTCTACTGAAGATTACAGTTGTTAAAACTGCTAAAAGAAAGTATTATATATTCTTACTGTTATATTGTGGTCTGTTTTTATTGGCAGATAAATTCTTGTGATGAAAAAACCATTGCATGTAAAGTTTACATACATTCATCCTGGTGATGTAGTAGCTCATCCAGCTCGTGAGCCATCACCCTGTCCTCCTTTAGTCGGTCATCGTGTGCGGCTTTAAGCAAAGTCTACCTGATCGACACGGCAGGAGAGGCAGGGATTCAGAAACAGCAAAATTACAAGCTGTTAAACCAAAACGAAGCTGAAAGATGCTAAAAATCTTCATCAAGTTCTTTGGCTTATGTCTTCACTGAGCCCTCTCACTTGACATTTAGTCATTTGAGCCACTGCAAATATGAAATTATTGATCTATGCATCTTAAAATGTGACATATTTGCATATTTGGGAAGAAGAAAAAGAACTTTGAGTTCTCCTCAGACCTCCTCCACTGTCGGTGATGCATGCTGTGCTCATGCAGCCTCCAAATGGTGACATAAACCTCTTGTTTGGCACTAAGTGAGGTACAGCACAGTGTCAGTCCTTGGAGGATATCGTACATTAGATGCATATTTCTGTGCTGCCCCTGGGCCTAATGGGGCTTGATGATAGTAATGCTTCATCTCAAGGAGGACCTGCATTTTTAAGTGCGTACAAACAAGCTGACTGCGTGACCTTCTCTGTTAATGACAGCGCAGCATTGCATAAGAGCTTTTAAACACTGCAGCGAGGTTGGATATACATCAGTGGGTGTTGTGTTGTGGGCATAAGTAATACAAATAAATTAGCTGCAGATGAGCTGGAAGTAGGTTATTTGTTTCCATTAGAAACAAGGAGGACTCATAATGAGACAATTTATTTTCAGCGAGGTCTACCCCGGTGATCGATGCCCTGTATTCTCATGAATTCATCTTGGCCTGGACTCAGTCTCACTCTGGGATTTCCAGGGAGTGATCAATATCCTTCCTATTGACAGTGACCTTGTCTGTGAGGTCACACTGTGGATCTTTTTTTGGACCTCGAGCTTTCACAGAAAACGGATTAGACTGCATGTCTTCTTGGATTTCAGAGTTCAGTTCAGTCCAATTGCTCATCCCTTCCTGTGGCATGAGTCAGGAGACTGAAGTGTTCTCACTGTGGCAATAAACACTGTGAACAACTACCTTCTTCAGACAGCTTCCTCCTTTTGAGATGAGATCAAACAGAGACAAAGGAGGAAACTGGCTTTCAAAGTTTTCATTCAGTGCTGTTGTAATACACTGTTACATAAAAGCTAACATTTTCCAAGCATGTAGGTGCTTTAATACTTGAAATCCAGAGAGCAAGGTGGCACATTTAAGTGTGTAATGAACTAAAGTCCAATATTCAGCCTTTTTTTAGCTCAGTTTTGGTCTCCACCATCTTCTATCTGCGACTATTTAGCTGCTAACTCCTCCAGCTGTTCATTACCTTACGTTTAGCTATGTTGAGCAGGTTGTTTACAGCAGCTTTCTGTGTAAACCGCTGCCCACTGCAGCTGAAAACAAAGACATTAACAGTGAAAAACACAGGCGATAATTCTTTGGAGCATCACCGTGATTAGCTGCCCTGAGATTTGACGCTGTTGCGTTCACTGTCAGTTGTGGCCACTTTATGTTTAAGTGGTTGGTTAAAGTTATTTAACTGGATTAAATCTTGACCGGGCTGATGTAAAACACATTTAGCTGAAGAGCTTTAGTAACGTTTGAGCCACATCAGCAGTGTTTTACAGTCTGTCTCATCCATCTGAAACTACAGCCGATCAAACATCCCTGAGCAGCGAAGCAGTTTAGTGCAGCTCTGAGACGAATCAGGTGAATCCCAAGAGACATCTGAAAGTCAGAGAACAGCCGCGTGTTATGTTCTTTAAAAGTGGGACTAGTTTACAAGCCTGCTACTTATCAACTGTAAAACATCCCACCGGCTGTGTAACCTTTATTGGAGAGGAGGCAGCTGTGTGTCACTTCATTTCCAGCTCAAACTCAGGGACGTGGCTTTGGAAAGCCAGCGCTGTGTCGCTGTGATTTGTGTGGCTCTACAGTTTACTGACCGTGAGGTTTATTTATGTATTTTTTATGCGTGCTCTGGTCTTGTATTACACAAACATGAACGTCATCAATGCTCTTCTCTAACAGAGCAAATGAAGCACTTCAGTGTCAGCATATGCAGGTCTGATCACACAACAGAAGCTTTGTGGCTATTCAGAACATCAGCTTATAATAATTATATTTATCATTTAGAAAAATATTCTCCTCTGTCCACACCTGCTCATCAAACCACAGCAGCAGCAACAACAAAACTAAAAACAGGACTCTACAAATCAAGAGGTTACAAAAGGTAGGCGTGCAGGCTTACAAAAAACTCACAACAATAGGCAAAGTGTACTTACTTTAATTTTTATGCAGATAAAAACAACAGAAAATTAATTCCTAAAGATAAAAGTAGCAATTTTTGACCATTAGGGGGCAGAAATGCCACTTTTTACAGCCAGCAGATGGTGACATTTAAACATTTTATTACAACATCCAGTAGATACAGAAGAACACTG